GTATTGATTAATAATTTCAGTTAACATTTGAGCATTTAAGTTGTTGTTTTTGGGATCACCTGAATGACTTAGAGTGAAGTCACTTACAAAAGCCACTAAAGTAATTACTTAGTTACTTCCAAAAAGAAATATTCATAATGATGGAACTTTAGCAGAGCTACAGTGGCTTGCTTTTTTCCCTTGATATTTGCCATCTTATTTTCCAAGCACATTCTGACAGCTTGTGTTGGGAACATTGCATTCTGTGCGAGGCTCAGTGACTGATGGTATTTAAAAAAATGATAATTTTCTGTATTTGAATTTCAAAAAGAAAATAAAAAAAAAATTCAGGCTCGTTTCCCTTGTGCCTCCAGAGGCATTGAGCCTCAGAACAGTGTCGTTATCAAAAGCAGAAATGGGAGGGAGGAAAAGGCAGGAAGAGAGAGAGAACCGAAAATCCGCAGCCCTGCTTCAGCGCGAGGCATTGCAGTCATTTTGTTGAGGTCACCGTTGCCATGGAGACATCTCTCTCACACAAAAGAACAAACACTTCACTACTGGAATTTAGCGAGAGGTTCAGCTCATCTCCCATTTCTGCAGGGTTATGCTTCTCCATACAAATGAGACTGATGTACATAAAAGGCATCTTTCCAGGTGGATGTATGACCATATCAGACCTTACTGCCTGGGATACAAACCCGTGGGCTGTACTAAGTTTCCCTCTCTAGAATAATGCCTTTATGTAGTTTATTAATAAGGTAAAGGCTTTTGTGCCTTTTGTGGTTTAAATGAAATGCATTTAAAGCCGACTTAGCTCAACAATTTGGTATGGGCATTTCTGTTTTCTTTTCCCTTCCTAATTATCTCTCTAATTATCTCTCAGGAACTGAATGCTCTATGCATTATATTACTAACTCATTATTCAGTTTAGACAAAGTTCAAATACAGTATCTGCTATGAAATGATTATATAAGCCTGACCAGTTAATAACTAGCTTACTATGTGAAATACAGGGATAATAACCATGGCTGGTGGTTAAACAAAATTTCATTGATGCAGATAACTTTTGTATAAAATACTGTAGCCAACATGTGAAAATTTGAATTTGTTGCTTTGAAGAAATGATCACACAGCCATGTACTGTATTAAAAGGGGAAAAACCTCAGATGTCATTGGGTGTTGAATAACAAATCCTGTTACTTCCTTTCAGTGCAAATACTTTATATCCATCCTGTATAATCCTCGCCTGTGTATGAGCCACTGAGCCATCATTGAGTTTAATAAAATAGAAGCCTAGCATGTCCTGTCATTAAAGTTCCATATTTATTTAGTTGGGAGCCCACAGCCTAGTCCTCAAGTTGTGGTGGGAGATCTGCCCTCTACTCACTGGCCTACTGTATGTTACAATTTTGTTGGCAAGAGTGAGGCAGGAGGTTTTTGTGACTTGCGCCCTCTCCGGAGAAGTCAAACAAGCTGAAGATTTTTTTTCCTTCTGCTTTTCGGTCCAAACTAACTTTTAATTAGTGACGTTTTTATACTCATTTGTAAAGCAGTCTATGATGTGTGCATTGTAAGACTGTTTTACATGTAAAATTTTGTAGATCAATTGAATAATTGCTGTGCAGTAATTCCCTCATATTTGGGGTTCAGTGGCTGAATACAATTTACTTCTCTAAGGTGTTGTTTGTGAAAAGCTGTCAATACTCTGTCAGTATTAAAATCTGTTTTCTTGATCAGGAGACTTTTATAGTCTGGGTGGACAGTTATTTTCTTTGCATTTAGGTTCACAAACTGCCTTGTTGACAAGACAATGATGTACATGCATTAAAAATACATATTTCTTGAGAAACTTCAGTGAAAAATAAAAGTATTGAAGTGTTCTATATTCCTTAAATATTGCAATCTGAAAAAAACCTTCCATTTCTTGTTTCCTAATATTGCAAATTGCAGTACATTGCATGTCTCCTCATCTTGGCTACCTTTGTTCTGTATGGTGTCATTTTTATGAGCATTCTTGAAATGCAAGTTTCTTTCCATGTGAGGTGGCATACAGTATGAGTTTAGGTTAGTTTATGTAAGAGTTCCTATGAATGACGTTCTTCGGAGTGCCTTTATATAATAAATATCTTGTTAGTGAGTTGTAATTTGGCCTGTTTTTCTGAAGTCAGATGTTAAGAAACAAAATGATCTAAGTTGACTTCAAATGCCATGTTATTTCCATTGATTAGCAATTTATGTGCTTTTTGAGGATAAAATGGGGCACATTTGCATTCTAGAGCAAAACGAAAAAAGAAAAACAAAATTTTGGATGGAAAGTATGATAATTAATGCATTGCTTCACTAGGTATATTTTGCCCTGCTTAATATTTTGTGAAGAATGCTTACATTCCTGCTGGCTTCAGTGTACCCTGAGCAAAGCTTGCTTCCTGTTGGTTATTTTCACTTCCCACTTAGCATCCCAAAGGGGTAAGTGTTTAGAGGCAAGAAGGACATTTTCCTTTCTTTACCTCCGGGTTGTTCTGAACACTGTGAGTGCTGATGTCATTGACGTGTTGCTCCGGGCTAACCATGTTCTGTAAGCTTGAGGTAATCCCCCAGGGAAACACTCATGCCAGACTGTCTGTTTTCAGATTTCTTGACCAGATGCATGAACGTAGCGCATGTTGAATTCTCAGACACAGATTATATAAAATTACTCAGGTCTAGGTTAGTCAAGCATTGCCTTCACAGTAGTTCAATACCAACTGTAAATCAATTATTTGAGTTGAACTAGCATGAATATCCAAGGCATGGACCGATATCTGCAATTTTATAAACGTCTGCTTGCTTTTGCTTTTTGACATGATTGGCAGGTTATCTGCCTATGGCATACATGTGAAACTGGAATTCCAGACTTTGCATGTCCGTAGTTGTGCAAACACAAAAAATTAAAAGATCTGGGTTACAAGACAAGCAACACAAAAGTCAGGGACATGCGTCCAGAAACAGCCGGGATTGAACAGCTGAAGAGTGATTCATGGTCAGAGGGCAAGAAAACAACGTTGAGAAACCAGAGGGAGAAAACAGAGCTGATAAAACCTGGTCAGAAGCTATTTCAGTTCATCATTGTTCACACTGCAAGCCTGCAGTGAGGAAACTATATGTGCTTTTGTTTTAAATAACGGAAATAGAGTTGAATTTTCATTCCTGTGTGGTGGAGTGGTGGTCATACATACCTATTTAGAGAATAAAAGAGAGTATGTTGTCTGGGTTCTTAGATTCAGATTCAGTGTGCAGCTCTCAGTACAAACTCTAAACTGAATCAGTAGTTAATTGTGACGCTAACCTGAAAGGGGTAAAATATCTCTTATGACAGTTTTGCTTGGAGAAATTATTTGATAATCTAATGCAGCACTGATCCTATCCCTAACATTAACTCTCACACTGCAGCAGTCCATTTAATTGAAATTAGGTTGTGAGTTGCTTTCCCAGGTTCATTTTTGATTGTGATTACAGTGTGTTGAGTTTTCATAGTTTTTCCCTGCTTTGAGTAATACTGCATACTGCATCACAGCAAAACAAACCTTCTTATGTTTGGACAAATTCAAATTATGCATTCAAATATATTGCTCAGGAAATATACAGAAACATCTACATAAAGAAAATCCTTATGCATATACTGTATGGAGTATATAGGAATCAACTATGGTTCTTTATTTTATATCCCCCTTCATTTCATATCTACCAACGGTCAGTAATGTCAGATTATCTCAACACCATCCACCAACGCCATAGGACAAAGACTATAAATGCCATACTCTGAAATGCATTAGGAACAAATGAACAGTGCATTATCAAAACACTGTTGGGCCCAGTAGTGTCCACAGCAGAGAACCACCTAGAAAGAATACAGGGATTTCTGTTGTGCAGCAAGATTAGGAAACTCTGAATTTATCAATCTCTTCCAGATCTGGTGGTGCCTGAGGAATCCAGGTCCTAGTTGCATAACTGCCAAAGTACAGGCCTGAAACTTGTCTTACCTGGTGTCCCAAGAAACCAGTTGTTCAGGCAGGAAATATGTTCTTTCCTAACCTGCAACACAGATCACTTGAGGACATCCAAGCCACTTCACTTCCCCTCATCCCATGTCATCACCTTGCCAGGCTAGTAGTTAGTTACTTTATTAATTAATCAAAAACATCCAATGAATAGCAAGGAAAGCTACCCCTACTGTAGCAATTAGTCATGCTGTGCATTCTGATTTCCCCCCCTACGGCACAGCTTTCACCTCCTTTGTAGGTTCTGTCTTACAAGGGAGAAAGATAGCATACGAGCTCCAAGTCCAGGTATTTACTTTGGTAAGCTCAAAGTGTTTCTTTATGGAACAACAACCCCACCGCATATCTGGTGGAGAGGTGAGAAAGTGTTACACAATTTGAAGTAAGGAGGACATTTATATTGTCCAACCCTAGTGTGGAATGTAGCAAGGGCACTGAGGTTAACAGCCCTACTCTAATGACCATGTAGGCATGCCCTTGGGTTTAACAATTCACTTGAAGGTTTATGCATCCTATAGCATTGTGTCCCTGGTCACAGTTCTGGGGCTTTGGTTTGGAAAATCTGGTTCAGATGAAAGTGTAAGATTAACTGGTCCACCAAGACTAATAACAGCAGCAGTCTTCTGAGATCTGATGAGGTCAGACTAGTAGAAGATGATAAATTGCTCTTGCGTTTAGGCAAACCTACAAGAGTACCATTTTTGAAACATATAAAAGAGATGAAATTTTCATATTAGATGAAATTTTCAGATGTTGAAGAGAACAGGGATTCATATGATATTGATCTAACATATGACTAATGCAGAACTTAAACATTAAAGTGGTTCTGAGTAATATAATGCACTAATTTTATACAGTAAGATAATTAAAAACCAAAACAGAGACTAATTAAAATACACCTTGACATTCAATTGAGGGCTGTAGTAATTAAGAATATTTTGTTCTAACTTGTGCATTAACTAGTCTGTTTTGTCTTTGTTTCAGGTGATGTGCCTTCAGGATTTCTTTGGAGAAGATGATATTTTTATTGCCTGTGGTCCAGAGAAGTTCCGATACCAGGATGACTTCCTCCTGGATGAAAGCGGTAAGGCAACTTTGCCGGTGTAGTGTTCCTAGCTGAAGGGATTCTGAGGCTGTTGTTAGAGGCATTCTGGACACAGGAGAAAGCTAAAAAAGCACTTCACTGTCATTTCTAAAGCAGAGCACTGCCCAAAATAAATTGAAAACTAAGTCCTAGCTTTGCTCTGAGGCTCAGACTTTATTCAGTTAGGAAAGTTGGATAGCTGTCCTAGCCAGCAGCCAGATCACCCTGCAACTCACAACTGGCAACCCACTGAAGCTAAGCAGGTGTGAGCCTGGTCAGTACCTGGATGGGAGTCCTCCTGGGAAAAACTAAAGTTGCTGCTGGAAGAGGTGTTAGTGGGGCCAGCAGGGGGCACTCACCCTGCAGTCCATGTGGGTCCTAATGCCCCAATATAGTGACGGGGACACTATACTGTAAAACAAGCACCATCCTTCAGATGAGATGTAAAACCGTTGTTGTTTTGACTCTCTGTGGCGTTTCTCGAAAAGAGTAGGGTGTCCTGGCCAAATTTCCCATTGGCCCTTACCAATCATGGCCTCCTAATAATCCCCATCTATGAATTGGTTTCATTACTCTGGTCTCCTCCCCACTGATAGCTGATGTGTGGTGAGTGTTCTGGCACACTATGGCTGCCGTCGATCATGGTGGATGCTGCACATTGGTGGTGATGGAGGGGAGTCCCCATTACCTGTAAAGCGCTTTGAGTGGAGTGTCCAGAAAAGCGCTATATAAGTGTAAGCAATTATTATGATTATTTCAAAAACCCGCACAAAACGGAAGCTCTTTCATATGTTTTAAAAAAACAAAACATGATCTTTACCAACCTCACTCTTCCTCTTTTACAATCATCACCCTGCCATTTTGAATGCAAACCTAATGTTTTTGGCGTTTATGAGAGCTTGGCTCAAGAGCAGTCGATCACTTTTTCATTAGCAATATTATTCTAAATTATTTAGAAAGAGAACAAAGTAAAAATAATCTCCCACCAAGGAACCCCAGCATTACAAAGCAGACAGAAGTAGTATCTCCAGTAAGGATGAGACTGCATCAGCAGCAATAATCCAAACCTGCGTTATTCCCAATCCGAGTCATGGATATGAGCAGTAGGGAACTTGGTGCAACAAGTAAAAAAATGATGGCATCATCTCATGGATGCACATGCTGATCATACAAATGCTTTAGGCCTAGACTTAAGTTACAACAGAGTTATTGATTTGCGCCTTGAGACTTGGACTGGAGTCTATATTTTTATTACAGACTTGAGCGAATTGAGTTGAGACTTGAGACTTGGCAGTTGGGACTCCATTAGTTTTATGGACGGACCATTCGTTTTACTTTCATTGTGTTTTTTTCTTCTTTCTCACTGTCCTCAACTGCTACACTCTTTATAAATATCAAGAAATGTTACTTTGCTCTTCACCTAACCACTGATGTAGTAGTTAAATCAATAGAACTGTGTCAGTGTGCGTTATTAAGAAGCACAAGAACAAGCAAAGTAAAGGTTGCTTGCGGAACAAGAAAAGGGTAGTTCTATGCAGAAAAGTTGAAAGAAAAACACAATGTTTATCTGAAAAAGACCTAACAGCTGTAGCATTAACCTTTATTAATGCAGTAGAAAGTTTCTCAGTGGCTTACAATGCCCACCAGATGCTACAGAAAATAAGTCTTCATAGTGTGCATATGCGTATACAGTATGATTCAGTAATACTAGTAGAAAAAAGTACTGTAATTCTACTTCTACTGTATCTGCACTATTACATTGAAAAAATAATGACGTGTTTATGATCATATTTCCTCTCATGTCTAAAATGACTGACATTTGTTTCCAAGATTTTAAGCATTGAATAAATGTAGTTTATAACGAACGTGCGGGAGGGATGACAACAACCAAGTTCAATCTCACTCAGCTGTTACTAATTAGCAGTTACTGCTGACGTCATGTCCGCTCCTAAAGACTGTAAATACTGTAAGTGATCTCCTTCTCTCCCTGGTATCGTCTTTTTGCATCCCACCTCCACCTCATCTTCACCTTTGACGCTGCCCTTTGGTCACTCTTCACACTGCATGGGGGTCCGAGCTTGCTCGTCCTCAGCCAGGAAGTCAGCCCTCAAATGTTGACTAAACACTCCATAATCCTTTCACTAAAGTTAATTTGTGGGTGTTGTTATTCCTAGTGAAGACTGGTTTGTACCATTAGTATTTTAAGGGTTTTCTACCATTACTGACTTTGTTTTATGCTTCTTGGCAGAATGGTATTAAACTTGATAAGTGTTGATAATGATAGCTTGATAACAATTTCTCTTCACACTCCAACATATCAGTGTAAAACAAAACAAATATACTAAGCATAAAAGCTGCACTGAGAGACAAAACAACAAAGCAAATGTATGTTTTAAAAAATGGTAGAGACAGTTAAAACATTTTATTTTTATCGTCCTCAAGTAAGTTGGACTATACTGTCTAGAAAAGAGCATAAAATTCACTGTATTTTAAACATAACCAATTATTAAGATGCATTGTTAAATAATATATTCAGAAACGAATAATTTTCTTATAGTATTTAATCAATTTTTGTACCATATCTATTTAAAATTTGAAAATTATATCCTGAATTGCTCTAAATTTAAGGTGTTTGTTCTAATAAGAATGGGACAGATTGTATGCAGTTATATTACCGTGGCTGTATTGTTAATATTCAAGTGAAATATTGTACAAATATTTGTATGTACATATATATTGTATTTTATGAACTCCTAAACCCAAATAAAAGACATATGCATTCCACTCTCACTACAAGTTCCTCCTCGTAAACTTAAGGGACTGTATGAAACCCACATACTGTATCTTGTGCCCTGCCTATGCAGCTGTTCAGTTGCTAGAATCACTAGTTTTGCATCGACTAACTGTAAGGCCTTCCACATAACAGTTTACTTAAGTAATGGAACTGTGGCTTTTTGTGACAAAGACCCTTTAATGAAAGTTTGATAACTCATTGAATAACAAAGTAGTTATGAAAAGCACACATATAGAAACATACAGTAAATCATTGACAGAATATTATTTGAGAATTCTTGAACTCTTGTGTCGCAAGTGATCCACCTTATGTATTATTAAATATTCTAATTTTTTTTTTTACTTATTATGTATTGTTCTCACAGTATAATGAATTATGACATCCTTCCACTGGTATTGCATTTTCAATATGCTATGTTCCTCTTTTTCTTTATCTCATTGCATATCCACCCATGGTTTTCTCTTTATTAAATGCTAAGTGTCCATCTCTGAGTGATGCGAGTGTGGGCACACCTGTCGGCCTTCATTTCCTTTAGTAAATCACATTTTAATGGGCTCTGGAGAGCTCTCAAAGTTGTAGCCTTCCTACACAAGGTCCATACTAGCAAAAGTAGATGGTACACCCTTTTGAGCCCAGCTCCTGTCCACCCCCTTCTGTCCCACTTTGTTGTTCTAGAAGAAAGGATCAGACATACTCCTTGTCACCATTTATCTTCTCAGTGCC